GTCTTCGGACTGCTATTTTTTTCAAAAAATAACGAGAGATCTGAGGATGGAGACCTCGGACTATTATTTTTTCTAAAAAAAGAGAATGATCAATCTAAGGATTCTAACCTCGGACCACTATTATTTTCAAAAAATAACAACTGGTCCGAGGATGGGAACCTCGAACCGCTGTATTTCTAAAAAAAAAAGAACAATCGATTCGAGGATTCTAACCTTGGACTGCTATTTTTTTCAAAAAAATAACAAGCGGTCCGAGGATGGGAAACCTCGGATGGCTGTTTTTTCTAAAAAAAAGAGAACAATCTGTCTGAGGATTCTAATCTCAGACCGCCCCTGCTAAATAAAAAACAAAAAAAATAAAATTAATGCAGTCTGAAGATGGCATCCTCGGACCGAGGGATAATTTCGTCAAAAAAAAAAGGTCACGTTAACCGACCTTAGATGTAATATTCACATATCAGGGGAGTATATTGTATTTTCCCTGCTTCTATAGGGGCGTACATAATTAACTCTAAAAAAACTTTAGAATCCCAAAAAAAAAAAAAAAAAAAAACTTAAAAAGCCTAAAAGTAAAACCTACAACTAAGAACAAAATATACATCCTTTGAAATTGAATAAAGATTAAAAATAAAAATATTATTGGCCAACATCATTCTCCCCGGGTTAGATAGAACTCGTCTTTGAGTTTTGAAGTGTGCTAATATGAATCTAGCAAAAAAACCACCATCATCAACCTTCTTCTTAGTTGGCTCAAATATTATTCATGGCAAGAAGAAATCTATAAGAAAATGATCTCCATATGTATATTGAGGTATCAATGTAAATTTATCACGTACAACCCTTGAACTCATTGAAAATCATGCAAGATACGCCAAACTCAATTTTCTAGACCTTAGAGGCTTTTTTGATAGTTATTTCATTATTCTCTGAATCCAAGAACACAATTTGCAGATTTTGAGTTTTCCATACTTCCAATACACTACTATGATTCCAATGCCTTAAATATCCTAAATGTTCCTCCTCTTTGATATCTTTAAGATCTTCATCTTTTTCTTCGTCAAAGAGCAGTTCACCCACAAAACATTTTCTCTATCATAGATCGGATTTCCTACAAAATCTTGTTCTTCATTTGAGCACGCGTCGAAGATTGGAGGTGAATTCTAATCTACAACTTGTTAATTTTGAATACAATTTGCATCAAAATCAATATTATCCTCCTTCAAATAGAAAACCGTAAGAGAGATATTCCCCACATAGAGGTCTTCCAACACTTTCCTCTTCACTCGACTCTTCAAGAAGAGTATAGTGTTGAAAAGGGTTGTACTCGAGTTCTTCTTCAAATTTTTCTCCCACCGATTCCATCGCGCATTGAACCCATCTATGTAGTTCGACATATCATCATTCCATTCCCACTCTGACTTGGACCTTGACTCGCCCCAGTCTCCAAAAAACTTCACAATTTAGATCTATCCCTTTAGATTCCTCCTTTGTTTAGGGTATGTTGTTGTTGTTCCAGTTCGTGCAACAGCGATGTAACTCTCACCATTAAGTTGTTGACTTCCTTTCGCAATCAGATCAGATCAGCATCCCTATGGTTAAGACCTCCATGATCATCCATCGCAATCTCCAGCTATCTTAAAACCATGCTCCAATACCACTTGATGACGAAAGGTGGAAAATTAAATCCACCTTTTTCCTGAACTTTAAACAAGTAAAATCAGCAATAATAGAAAGAAAAAACATGGCAGTAAATCAAGCCAAGAGAAGAACTTTCTTCTTTCATAAAATAAAATTCATTACAAATAACACAAGTATCCCAAAATGTGACATCCAATCTTTTATAAGCCTAGAAACGCTAAAATTAACTTGAGATCCAAATAAACATTTAATGCTCTAAAATACCCCAAAAGATTACTAAAATTTCAAAAATACCCATGTGGACAGGTGAACAATTCCTGTGAACAGTAATGGGAATAGTACCCATGAACACTTAACTCTAGCATGATAGAAAGTAAATTTGAACTAGTATTGAAACCACACAAATTAAGTTCAATGCTTTGGCATACTTACGCAAAAATGCCAAGGATAACATAAAAAATGGCCCCCTGGTCCATATATACAGCTTTACATTGCATTAGTGACGTTGATTTACCCTTTATGAGAACTTATATCCATCCCAGGACTATATCCATATGCTCTGGCGAATACACCAATAAATAGTAACCAATGAATCGTAATTAGAAATAAAAATAGAAAATCTAGAATCCCTAAAAAAACTAAGATAAAATTAACATCCGTTAAATTGAATAAAAATTAAAAATAAAAATAATATTAGCATGCATCACTCTCTTAATGAACATATATACAGATATTCCTCTTTTAAGGCTGCTTTCCGATAATGTGGCTGTCATATATACATGCGAATGTTTGTTGAGGATTTATCCCTCTCTCTCACAGGACTACATCCACACATAAAGACCACACATCTATCCTGACCTACAAATTATCTATGGGTAGCTCTCCGACCTCAACAAGGGATGACCCACTATAAACACTTTTCTGTAGTGCAACATTTCCAGAGGTAAGGTTTTGGACATGACTAGAGTCATAGACTGCCTAACCTTTAGTTAGTCAACACACACACTCCCACTAAAGCGTATGGTCCAATATAAATCTCTTTTACATACTCTCACGGCCTTTAAAGGCCACAAACCCAACATGGAGCTAGCTAATCAATCCAAGAGCCTCTCTGGTTGCAAGTTAGAGAACTTTGCACATCCACTTGGATGTCTCTATCCACTCCCTCCAAGGCTCACACTAAGCATCCCACTAGAGGCAAGTCATTACCCTCCCCTGGTTGCGAAGTGGAGCTTCAATCCCCCCCATCACTGTTTCAAAAAGCAGACCACCCAGCGCCTGAGCGCCCGCCTAGACGGATATTCCTGGGCGCCCGCCTGAACTCACCTAAGCGGCCGCCCAGGGCCTGCACCCCACCCAGGGTTGGAAATGAAGCTCTGTGAGGGTATTTTAAGGTCATATTTTAATATTAAAAGCGCAAAATTGTGGGTTTTAGGTTCATTTGAAACCTAAAACCCATCAGAGGCTATTTTAGAGAGAGAAAATCCAAAAAAAATATTTTTTTACTTGGCCGCCCAGGTTCTGGGCGCCCACCTAGGCGTTGGGCGGCCTGGAACCCCCCGACAGCCTAGGTGCCGCCTAGCGCTTTTTGAAACACTGCCTCCCATGGTTATGGAAAGGGCTCTTGTTGTTCACTCCGAGCTCCAAGCCGTCACTCTCATGGAACCAAACCCGGTTTGGCGCACCTCATGTGCAAGTTCCTCAAATGGCCTCAGCAGATCATCAAAATCCTCCCCGTGAAGGTCCAAGACCACCACTATTTCTGCTGCCTCCACGAACTCCTCTAACGGGGCATCGCGCACGGTTGCAACATCTAAGGCACTTTAGAAGTCGACCTGCTATGATCCCAATTGATGGAGGAGAATGGTCTCAAGACCTACAATTAATGCTCCATTCTCATTGATTCTAAAAAGAACTAATATTTGACCATATAAGTGTCGACATGCCAAAGCCAAAGACCCATTTTGTGTATAGCATCCCTGACCGCACTGGAATCCAATTCAATATGGAGCGTGCTGATGTTCAGCACTTTGGCCAGCAGATATCATCCCAAAGCAAATGCCTTAATGACAAGGCTGCCTCAATCATCATAGACTCCTAATCTAAGTCTTGATATATCAACATTAATTCAAATTATCCAATGGCTTGAAACAGTTTCATCAATGCATAGTCATTATGGTATAATTTGGAGTTTATTTAATTATTTGTTATGTTGAAAAGAATAAAAGAACCTGGAAACTTGAATGAGAAACATTGGGAAACAATTCAAGAAACACTATAAATCCCTCTTGTGCAGGAGTTGGCATATTCAAACATTGCCTTTAGCAATTCAAACATATTTTAGAAATACAAACAAAAAGATTGAAACTAGATAGCATTATTTGTGAAACCCGAGGTGTAGTGGAGAAGTTTCTTGCTAGGATGATCCCCCCCTCCCCTTGCTACAGCAGCATGGGTGCAATACAAAGGTCACAGACCCTAGTATTCATCAAGAATAAGCATTATTTAACTTTCAGAGATCAGATGGGATATGGCTGAGCCATAGTGCTGTTCAACCATGATGTATGCATGCATGTAGTGGTTGACCATAAGATGCCATAAGACTAAGATAAAATTCACAAGGGTGACTCTTTGTATATATATATATATATATATATATATATATATGAAAACCTAAAAAATGCCTATAGGCGAAATGCTATAATGTTTCGCCTCCACCACGGACTTGCCATGTCCGTGGCGGTTTATTGAACGGACCCGCAACAGACGGCGCCATCCGTTGCGGTTCCAATAGGCGTTGCGTAGATGCTTCCATATATATATATATAATTTTAGGCATTATCCTATATTTATCAATTCATCATTCACAAAGAGTATTTTAAAGACAACAGTGGTTACTATGAATGCATTGTGATTTCATCACGGCAGTTTCATTAATTAACCTAATTATGATGTATATATAAAATAAAATAAAAACACAAAGGGTGACTCTTTAGTTAGGTTGTAAAGGAACATATACAAAAATAAATGCATGTAAAGCATATGTACACATCATTATTAGGTTACTTAATTCATGAAACTGCTGTGATGAAATCACAATGCATTCATAGTAGCAACTGTTGTCTTTAAAATGCTCTTGTGAATGATGAATCTGATATATAGGATAATGCCTAATGCCTATAATGAAAACCTACTGAAACATTTTCCTTTCGCCAATTAGAAGGAATTTTAGCAAGTGATACTATTTGCCATGTGCCAGATATTCATGCCTTTTCCATCATCCACATCATGGAAATGTTATTAAATATCACATATTAAAAGTAAATTCCATTATTAAAACACAATATTCAAGAACTCTTTACCTGATACGATTTGGTATGATGACGTCAATGGTAAACAAATGATCACCACGTATTGATGGCTTGTTAAGCTTAGGTGCACCTCGCTTTGCTAATACAACTACATCACCAGGTTGGGTACCAGGTGGAATCTGAACTTCAGCAATACCATTGACTGTCTTTACCTGATAAAGAAAGAGCCATTTTATGTTTATGGATCAAGCAAGCAAGTGTGAAAGACATGTAAAAGAGAAACTAGAATATGGCATATGCGATGTAGGAAATAGAGAAAATAGACAAAACAATACAATAAACCATCAAAACATACCAGATTTGAGTGCATATGGCTTTCCTTACGTAAAAACGTGACCCAACACCCTAAATAGGGCTTGATGTTACTATTCACAGCTTTTTTTTTACTGTTCACACCCCAAAAGTGTTAGAAACCTAATACTCTAGGCCCTTTTATCAAATTATAATAGACCCTTTTTTTTGAGATTTCTTTTTTTTTTTTGAGAGTAATAGACTCTCACTTCATTAAAACATTATACAAAAACCCCATAAGTCCCTTCACTTAAATTAAAACATGAAAGATCCCTATATTGCCCCTAACTTTAATTAAATCACAAGAAATCACTTAGAGACTGTAAAAACAGCAACAAACTAAAAATAAACTCCTTCAAAAAATTGGCCTTCCCCCTCTGGATCTTCTTGCAACCTTGGGATGTGGGTCATCATAAAGAGGTTTGTCAAAGGATGGACTAATCGGGTCAAAAGGCCCAGAAGAATTGTCTTGACTAGGTAAAAGAATGTCTGGTGAATCATTCTCCCCCGGTTGCATAGAACTCAACTTTGACTTCCGCTGTTCTTCTATTGCCACTCTGGGTCCATGGTACTTGAAAAACTCGACAATTTTGAACACATTTGAGGTCTCAATCTCAGCCAGAAGGTCAATCTTATAGGCACTCTCCATCTTCTTCAACACTCGAAACGGTCTTTCTTGTTATTCAGCTTGTTATATTACTCATAGGATGCCTATCTTTGCATTAAAAAAACCATCACCACATCGCCCACTTAAAACTCTTTCAATCGCCTATGTTTAGCTGCAGCATCCTTGTACTTGGTAGAGGCAATCTCAAAATTAGCTCCAACCAGGTTATAGACATCCTTCATGTGCTAATCATAATGTCAGCATCTAAGTGTCCTTCCCCATTAGCTCATAGAGGAGTCAAATCCAGCATATGGGCAAGAATCTGCCCATAAATGACTTCAAATGGGCTCTTATCAGCTGACCTATCACGGGAACTGTTGAAAGTGAACTCGCTTGTGGCAAAGCAAAATCTTGTTGTCTCTTCTTCTCAGCCACTATGCTTCAAAGTAGGTTACCAAGGTTTCGGTTAACCACCTCAGTATGACCATCAGTTTGTGGGCGACAAGCTCTGCTAAATTGTAGCTTGGTACCCATCTTGCGATATGAAGTTCCCCAAAAGTGGCTGAGAAACTTGGTATCCCTATCTGATGTAATCATTTTGGTAATTCCATGAAGTCTCACCAACTCATGGAAATATAAGTTGGCCACATGAGTTGCATCTAGATTCTTCTTGCAAGCAATGAAATGCGCCATCTTTGAAAATCTGTCAACCACAATAAATATGAAGTCCATGCTAGCATCTTCCCACGCTGCCTTGAGAATGAGAAGTAGAGAATATAAACCTGTGTTCTGACACTACCACTTTGCAACTTGACACACTTTGCACCTCTCCACATGCCAGCCACTAAGGCCAATAGAACTTGGACTCCACCAATGCAATGACTTGTATCCCCCAAGGCTCCCACAATGTATCTCTGAAATAAGGACCTCTAAGAGATCCAGCAGGAATGTGGATTCCCTTTGAAGAGAAACCCATCTTGTATCACACCGACTCCTACAACTCCACCTTGGCATTGTGGCCAAATCTCTCCAAAATTGTCATCATCAACCTAAAAGTCACACAGGCACTCAAACCCTGTCACCACAACTGCCATATGGTCAAAAGTGACGCTCTCTGATTCAAGGCATCCACAACTTTATTCTGACAACCAGCCTTGTGACGAATCATGAAGGTAATCTCCTGCAAATATGCCACCCACCTAGCATGCCGGCTATTCAGCTTATGTTGCCCATTAATATACTTCAGCGCCTCAAGATCTGAAAATAAAAGAAACTCCCACTAAATAAAATAATGATGCTAGTGTCTTAAAGCCTGAATGATTGCATAAAATTCCACGTCATAAGTGGAGTAACGTCGGAACATATCAATCAGCTTCTCGGTGAAATATGCGATTGATCTGCCCTCCTGGCTCAACACTAACATCCTATCAAAGTCTAGCAATGCTAACATGGGTGCCTCAGTCAGGGGCCTACTAAATCCTCCTAAAGCTCTTTTCAGCTTTTGTGGTCCATTTGAAAGAACCCTTCTTGAATCAATCAGTGAGTTGTACTATGATGGTGCTAAATCCTCTAATGAACAGTCAATAAAAATTGGCCAGCCCATGAAAACTACGCACGGTTCATAATGTTAGGGGTTGGCAATTCTCTTATTGCTGCCACCGTTCTCTCATCCACCTTGATTCCCTCAATGGAAACCACGAAACCCAAGAAAATCAAATTGCTGGTCATGAATTCACACTTCTTCAAATTTGCATACAGTTGCTCCCCTCGTGACAATTCCAATACGAATCAAATTGCTGGTCATGAATTCACACTTCTTCAAATTTGCATACAGTTGCTCCCCTCGTGACAATTCCAATACGCACCTTAGATGGTCTGAATGCTGCCCTTCAGTAGTGTTGTATGTGCGGATATCATCAAAGCATACCAGATATCATCAAAGCATACCACCACAAACTTTCTTGTATATGGCTTACAGACTTGATTCATGAGTCTCTTAAAGGTGCTAGGTGCGCTTTGATAACTCGTATGGCATAACCAACCATTCATACAATCCATCCCACATCTTAAATGTTGTCTTCCATTCATCACCCGACCTGATTCTGATTTGATGATAACCACTCCTCAAGTCTAGTTTAGTGAAAATCATAGCCCCTACCAACATGCCCAACATGTCATCCAGGAGCGGTATCGGAAAGCTGTATTTTATGGTAATTTACATAAATCAGGAACCCTCTTTCTTGGGCATCAACAATGCCGGAACTGCATATGGACACATACTCTCCCTGATAAACCCCTTCTACAGTAGTTCTGAGAATTCCCTCTGTATCTCCTCACGCTCCTTAGGGCTCATTCTATATGCTACTTTATTTGGAAGTCTAGAACCAGGGATGAGGTCAATGTGCTGTTAGATTTCTCGTATAGGAGGTAATCCCTAGGGAAGGTCATAAGGCATGACACCATTAAACTCCCTCATCAATGTCTCTAGCTTAGGAGGAATTGAACCAATGGGCTTTTCTTCAACTGGTGCCACAGCATACAACACACCTGACTCACCCAAATTCTTCATGAACTCCTTCAAAGATAGACATTTGTGCCCTCTTCTGATTTTGAAGCAATTTCCATCTTAGAGGGTCCCAAAATCACTTTAACTCAATCTTTCACAAAAGAGTAATTGTTTCTAAAATCATCATGAATGATATGCCTGTCATACTACCATGGTCTCCCCAACAACAAATGACAAGCGTCCATAGGCACTACATCTCGCCATATTTTATTTTTGTATGTTTTTCCAATAGAAAAAGAAACAAGACATCATTTAAAAAAAATTACCTCAGCGGCCTTCTTGAACCACACAATTTTATAAGGCTTGTCAACATCTCCTGAGAACCTATATTTTGGCAACTCCCTCTATCGATGATTAGATTATACACTTTCCCATATGCAATACAGTGTGTATGAAATATGTTTGTGCACATCCAGTCATTTTCTTCCACAACCCAAGACGTAATCATGTTGCGCCAGATCACCAATGCCTCCCCATGTGCTATAGGTCACTTCTGGGTCCTCTTCATCAACTGGAGCATTGTGGATGGGATCACCTTCAAAAGAGTGCTCGTTGTCCTCGTCACAAAACTCCTCAGAAAGGTTAACAAACTTGCAATTTGGGCATTGTGATGAGACATGCCCAATGCCTGAGCGCTTGTAGAACTTAAATGTTGTTACCAACACTACTTTCGAGGTGCCGGACTCCCGAAACAACCCATTTTTGGCTCAAGGCACCTTCCTGGTTGGTCGCTCTACTAGTGTGAGATGTCGAACCAGCACCTATCACGCTGCTTTTTCTTCCAAAATCACCACCACAGGCTGCTCCCCTACTTTCCCGATTTTCACCCGCACCCCACCTATTCGAGGGCCACTTCTGCTGAATTTCAACCCTCTTTACAAGGTTATAGACCTCATCAGGGGTCCAATAATGCTGCAAAACTACCACATCTTGAACTGATTGGCATAGTCCATTCACATAACTGGTAAAGGTCTGCACCTCCTGCGCGATCACATCACTACAAGCAGTCAAAGGTGAAACTTATTTATGTATTCATCAACCAATCTATACCTCTGGTGCAACACATGCATCTTTTGATCTAAAGACTATAAGTTATTTTCAAGGAGATATTTTTCCTTTATCTTTTTCTTCATCTTCTCCCACAACTTAATTTTAGGTTTTGCTATTCTTTCTCGTCTTGCTCTCAGCTGTTTCTTTTTTTTTGGGTGAGCCAGTGAGGAGAGGACCCCTACCCTTGGTAGGAATTGAGCCTAGGACGTAGCATTGCAAATCGTCAAGCGTTAACCAGTGGTTTACAAAACGGATCGGTGCCCCGGTTCGGGCACCCCAAAAACCCATCCAGAACGGTGAATCAGCGATCCGGATTGGGAATCAACCGAATCAGTCCGATTAAGCTTTAAAAAAATCCAAAAAAAATATTAAAATTCATTATAAATGTTGTTTTTTAATAATCCAATAAGAAATGGGGCTACTACATTATCAACTTTCATTTTTTTCATTAATTACGAATATTGAGATGTTCTTTCCCTGTATGAACTTATGTTAATCATTAAATTTGCATCACATAAAAGAAAAATCATAGAATTATCATGGATATAGTATATAATCATACATGAACTACAATAAAAATGGATTAAATCGATGAAAAAATCGCCACTAAAATCTCGAATTGGCGAAAAACCCTAATC